AAACCGAGGAAAAACTATCCACTTGTTTTCCTATTTTCTAGAGACTAGACAAGGGCAAGGCAATCCACTCCACTCAAATTATCGCCAGTCATGTTCGAATATAACGTTTTTTTTCAATTTTTTAAGTCAATCGTTTTTGGTAATAATGAAAATGCTGACGTGATATGATATAGATAAGAATTTTAAATTATATCATATCGCTTTTGAATTATATTTGAAGTATCTTATTCCGGATTGCAAATATTATGCTATGATGATGTTAATAATAATGGAAAAAAGTAAATAAAAAATTCAACGAATGTATTCTATGGACGAATTACTAATTATTATTTTATTTTATTGAAATTGATAGTCAAAAATGGAAAGGAAATATTACTGAAATATTACTGAAAAACTAAAAATAATAAACAATATAATAAGTATAGATATGGTATAAGTTTGAGAAGGAATTATCGGAAATTTTTTAATGGCGGAATAGATTGCTGACAAAAACGTTAGATTATTTTGAAAAGAAGAGGATATTCAAATGGCTAAATAACCAAGGAAACCAACATGAAATGTTCACGCTAGAATACATCAAGTTTATTACCCCCCGAAGGAGTTTACCGACCCCTCAGCTCATTTATTTATTCATTAGGCACGTGCGAGCATACCGGACGCGCTAATTATTTATTTTCTTATGGTGTTGCAATGCCAGTAGGTCGTATGACGTTGATCAACCCGCGGGTGTTGATTATCTTCCAGTTGAGTCCATAACTACTAAACTTTAAATCCTAATTCATATTGTTTTTGACGTGGTGAAAAAAAGTTCACCTGTATCACCTGTATCACCTTGTCCTATTGAGAGGTCTATCTCATTAGTTTCAATATGAATATTTATACGTTGAGCTTAAAAATGGAAGAGAGAGGAAGACGCGGGTTGGCTTTTTTTTTAGTGCAGACATTACGATTGCTTCACCGTTTTGAAGTTGATGGGCAGGTGTTTCGTTCGAGTTTATAGGTCTCTGGAACGGTTTCAAAGAAATGTCACTCGTATATATAACGAGTAATCGTATAAATTCTTTGATGACAAATATGACATTGGAGACCCGCATCCGGAGTGCGTTAAGTCGATTTACTCCAGAGGAGGTCATCAAGAGAGAATATACACAAGTATAAACAAAGTATGAATGTACAGTGACCTCGGAATCATCCGGCGCAGAGTATGTTCAAGGGATATTATCAATGGGGAATTAACCAATGTCGTATGTAGAGTAATTTTGCTGCCCGCGTGCGTACTACTTGCTGCATTCAATTTTTATGGCATTGGAACCAGACGAGAGTTCATGAGCCGCGCACCTGCTTATGTTCAACGTTGCATATATGTCTCCATCGTGTCTCATATCAATTTGTATGGAATTGAAAACCCCTCGGAATATAGTAGCGCAAGAAAATATTCAATGTGTTTATGTACAAAAAAATGAAAAATTATCTTATGGATAAGGCGTTACCGCGGAATTAAATTTCGGCTTCACGACTTATTTGGCTTTTCCAAATTGAGAGAAAACTTCATTTTTGTCCCGCAATCATCAATGGTTTTTTCGGTATGAACAAACTGATCATTTATAGGCACAATTAAACAAATTTTCAGAGTATTCAGTTGATTTTTACGAAGAGGGACTTTTTACATTTTTCGCATTTCCTTCATTTTCTCAAGTTTTTTCATAAATTTTCAAGATAATTGATCGATTTTTATAAAATAAACTCTATTGATTTCGTCCCCCTTCTTCTTAATTTTCATCACTTTATTCATAACTTCAGCCTTACTGTAATTTATTCATAAATTTTCAAGGTAATTAGTCGATTTTCACCAAAGGCGGTCTTCATCGATTTTTTGCCGATTTTCTTTATTTTTACAAGTTTACTCATAACGTCTGTTGCCTTGTGCTATTTTTTTTATGAATTTTGAAAATAATTAATCGATTTTAACAGATCTTTATCGATTTTTTTTTTCAATTCTCTCAATTTGCGCAATTTTATTCGTAATCTCTGTTGCTCCCCTGTAACTGTTAGATCAATTTCAAGATAATTAGTAGATTTTAACGAAAGGTGACATTTAATTTGATTTTTTCGATTTTCATCAATGAAAAATATTATGAGTAAGATCAATGAAATTTTTCTATTGCTGTCACTTGGTACACTTCCGGCTCGTAGATTAATATATATGCCGTCTTAATATGGTTTCACTCGTAATTGTTTTATTTTGTGAGAAGGGACGGAAAAGTGGCTTTCAACCAGCGGTCCGTCGGCTTGGGTTGATCACTTAATCAGACAGATAAATGGTGAGGAGTAACCAGTCATCATCGTATTGATCAGATTCAGTCATATGAAACCAAAAAGACTCACCTTGTCAACTTTCCAATTCATCACCTTTGGAATACTGCCAAAGATCGGCCGAAAAATTCC